TTAAAATAAATAAGAAAAGAGAGTTTGTTATGCACCATAAACCTGCTTAAATATTCATCATGTTGTTAATGAACCACATTCATTTTTAAAATGTGCAATCGGAGATGGCATCGGACATGATTTGATAATAATATAATTTGCTTATAATGGTAGAAAGGACGAGAACAGTGAAAATAATTATATCTCTAAACATTCGACATGGCTTCCTCCTAGCTAATGAGCAGCTGTTTTTCATTAGCCACAATATTATATCCGTAGCTGATCAACCTGGCCACAGCTGGGAACATTTAGAAAGGTACAATGTGTTACCAAACCAAGATAGCTGAAACTATTCCATTAATAACACAAAAAGGTGTACCTCTCTGTCCCTTTGCGGATGTTTTAACCAGAATGTCTTGTCTGAGCACTATCAGCATTTAAAAATTTATTTAAAATGGTATTTGTTTGGGATAGTCTTCCAATTATGTCACTAGGTCATAGGATCATAGTTGGAAGGCTCAAAGGCCACCTAGTCCAACCACCTGCCATGCAGGATTTTACAGCTAAAGATACCCATCCAAACTCTATTTAAAAACACACCAAAGGGAAACTATTACCTTCCAAGGCTGTCTGTTCCACTGAGGATACTGTGGATGGCCAAAAAAGACCCCCCAAAAACACCTCCTAGAACAGATCAAGCCTGTACTCTCCCAGGAAGCCAAGATGACCAAATTGAAGTTATACTTTGGACACACCATGAGAAGAAAAGACTCATTAGAAAAGATAATAACGCTAGGAATGGTTGAAGGCAGCAGAAAGAGAGAAAGACTGCCATGTCAAATGGTCAGAGAGGACATGAGTTGGAACATGCAGGGCCTGAGCAGAGCGGTTGAGGATAGGGGGCTTCAAGATGTCTCAGCTATAGGATTGCCATGAGTTAAGGTTGACTCAAAGAGAGTTAACAACAATAATGGAGAAAGAGCCCTCCATCAATGGAAGGACTACAGACCAGCTACTGGGTCGACACAGTGTCATATGATAAACTATGGCCACAGGTGCTGCTATGATGTTCTAATTCCACTTTTCAGCCCTCGTGTGATAAAGGCCTTGGTTTCTCTTCTTAAACTATATTTGCAAGATGGGAGTACTTCCATTCTAACCACAAATATGCCAAGGGAGGAATGTGTGGTGCTGTGATTCCAGCACTTTCCACAGCTGCTTATCCCCTAATTTATCCTCTTGTTTCCCTGCATCGCTGGTTTTGTAGCCTTTCAGCTGTACAATCACATGTTTCTGCAATCTTATCCTGTATTCCCAACATGGGAGGAAGGTGTGATGCTATAATTCCACTCTATGGCAGCATCAGCCCAGCTTTGGGAACTAATGCTGTAAAATGACAATGTCGGGGGGAAATATTGGTGCAATTTGACCAGCAATTTTATTGCTTGCTTCTGTATGTGTGTCCTGAAAGAAAATCTTTGCATAATTTTCCTCTTGCCACACAATAAATAGCTTTTTCTGGTTGATTAAACACAGCACCTGTCTTAGCAGCTGTTTATTAACCAGCACACTCCGAGGCAGGAGGCATTATCATGCTCATTTGCGATGCTAAAGGAAGCTGTTTGCCGGCAGAGGCTTAACGCACCAGAACCCTGCCGGAATTTTGTAACCCGTAAAAGACCGAGGAGTTAGCAAAATGATTTGTTTTGTTATTCTAATTGGCCACTGAAGTGCAAGGCTGGCTACGAGCTGATTCGGTAGGCTCTTTCATGATAAAACAGAAAAGGAAAGGAAAAAAAAAACGGCAGCAGGCCTGCCAAAGGGAGCAGAGGGAAATAAATGCTCCATATTCAATGGTGGGATGATTGCTTGCATTTGGGAGGGAAGTGGCTTCTGATCGGAGTAAGAATCCCTGCTACAAAGAATGAATTGTGGGATGATAAGAATGAACTAAGCAACAAAACAGCTGCAACATTTCAGGGGTAGTTTCAGAGGATGAAACTCAGTTCCCTGCCATGAGGAGACAAATGTAAGCATGTCAGATTATCTTTATTGTACCAGACCAAAGATTCAATCAGTCAGGAGCAGGTGGTGACTGCCAAGTGAGTGGAGGGGTAAATCCACCCTAATTTTTAGTTTGCAACTTCAGGATCTGGATCTTAACTTCAACATAGGCTCACTAACTTGGCGTCATCTTAAAAGTTCAAGCCAAAACCCAGTGTGGACTCAACACTCCACTGGCTACCAAGGGCCATAGTATCCAATTATGTGTGCCGTTTCTAGTGAAGGCTGGCTTGTAGGGCACAGTGGACACACACACACATACTCAACATTGCGTCCATTACAGCATAATTAAGAAGATTAAGGCTAGGATGGGTTTAAAAGAGGGCAGTGTTGCTCTCAGTGGGTACACTCATCAGGGGTAATAAAAAGGTTTGGGCTCCATGTCAGAGGTTGTTGTTGCCGTTGCTGTTGTGTGCCTTCAGTTCAGCTCTGAGTTATGGCAATCATAGAATCATAGAGTTGGAAGAGTCCACAAGGGCCATCTAGTTCAACTCTCTTGTGCCATACAGGAAGACGCAATCAAAGTTCTCCTG